GTCAGAGGAAGTTCTTGGGCTCTTTTCCTCTCATGCTACTTCCTGGCTACCCTGAGGAGGGGGCAGCTTTCTTCCTCCATTCCTCTCTTCTTTGTTTTTTGAGACAGAAACTTGCTATACAGTCCAGGTTGGCCTTGAACTCACCACATAGCCCAAGTGCTCCTCCTGCCTCAATCCCCTGAGTGCCAGGATTACAGGCATGTGCCACCAGGCCCACCCTACCATGTTTTTGCCTTGGAGCCAGGCAACCATGGACTGAGACCATTAAAACTGTGAGTCAAAATAAACCTTTCCTCCTTTAAATTGTGTATGTAAAGTATTTCGTCCCAGCAACAGAAAGGTGATGAATACCAGGCCGGCATGACTGCATAGAGGAACAAGGTAGCGGTAGCGTCGCCACCTAGGTCAGAGCTACAGTTCTCTGATCATCAGTCCACTGAGGACTCAACAGTCCATTCAAATGCTCTGCATTGCACTGCATGCAACAGACTTTCACTTCACTCTGTGTATGTGTGTGTGCATGGCACACACAGGTATGTGGCTGCTAACTCAGATACCTCACTCACAATCACTGACTATTAAGAATAAACATGAAGGAAAAAAACAATAAACAGGGGTACCTGGCAGTAGCCCATGGGAGGACCCCAAGCATGCCTTGGCTGCTCCGCTTAGCCTGTCCTCTGACTGGGTTAGAGACCCAAAGTGCTGCCACCCCATGTTTCATGGAAACAGGACTTGGGGCCAGACAGGAACTGGTAGGACCTGGGATGTAGTCCACTCTACCTGCTAAGCAGCATGACCCTTCAGACCAGAAATAAAAAAAAATAATCAGTACCCTCACAAAAACATCCTGTCTCATAGTGCAGGACTCACAGAAGCCAACCTGGAAAAACCCACGAGCCCTGGCCAAGGCCAAACTGCCTTCAGTAAGGCCCACAGCAGAGCAGAGCTTGACGCCACTCCTCATGCCAAAAGAGCAATCTCCCCTCAGAGGGCATCTCCCTTGCCCAGGTCTAATCCCTCAGACCAGCAAACTGAACACTAGCTTGAGGGCAAGTGACTGACATTTGCAGTGTGGCTATGTGAAAAGTGACCCAAAGCTTGGTGTGTAAAGCCACATTGTGATGCTCACAAGGGCCACAGGGGACAGCAAATGCAGGGGACAGCTGGTCTCACGATGCTGGTACACTCTGCAGCTGCACTCCCCGAGGGATCCTCACTCCACCTGGCACCTGCACCACAGCCGTCGGTCTCCGTTTCTCCGTGATCACCTCAACACAGAAGGTCAGGTCCAACCCCTGTCCAGGTTCTGAATGGGGAGGGGAGAAAAGTGGAAGCTCTGTTGCACTTTTCCAACAAAGCTTTGGAGGTTTCCACTGTGGTCTGTCACATTAAAAGACTGACTAGAGGAGGAGCCCTAAAGAGGCAGGAAAACCAACCCATGGGAATGGCACTGCTTTTGGCTTTGGGATCACCATGAGGGCAGCTACGACTAATCCACCCGGCGGTCCTCAATGAGCCTGGGCACGCTGACGTAAAATGGATATGGAATCGTGTGGGATGCAGGGAATGAAGGAAGCAAGAGCTGGGGAGAAGGGAAGGAAGCTAGTGACCTAAAAATCTCATAGCCTTGGGCTGGGGATTTAGCTCAGCAGCATAAACACCTATCTTGCAAGCAGGCAGTCATGAGTTCGATCCCCGGTACCAATTAAAAAAAAAATCTCCTAGCCTTCCCTGAGAGGTGACCTTTTCCTGTTGGTGGCCCAGTGTCTTAGGAGATGAAGATGTGAAGGCCTATGACAGGATCACCTTCAGAACGTACTGAAACATTGCTTTCCTGTCTTTAGTTCCTTATTCATGTCATAGTTTGCTTTTCATATTTAGAAGCTGAGTCATTAGCTTTCTCTTAGTATTTGAAACTCTGTACAAACATCATTAGTCCTAACAAAATGATTCCTAATGAGGCAGAAAAGGCCAGGACCCACATTTCTATAAAATTCTGACCTATTTATAAAACTATTCCCACTAAAGAAAAACACTTATGTTCTGAAAATAAGTTGATAAAATCCTTTGGCATGGTGTTTTATAACTTAAGTTAAAATTTTTTTTTGTTTGCTTTTTTTTTCTTTTTCTTTTTCTTTTTCTTTTTTCTGGTACCGGGGATCGAACTCATAGCCGCCTGCTTGCAAGGCAGGTGCTTATGCCGCTGAGCTAAATCCCCAGCCCCCTTGTTTTGCTTTTTGAGACAGAGCCTCCCTATGTAGCTAAAGCTGGCCTCAAACTTGGTGATGATCCTCCTGGCTCAGCCTCCTGAGTGCAGGGACTCAGGAAGTATGCATCAGTTTAGCTGTAAGAGTTTTTCATTTTAACTACAAGTTTTTATGTCTAAGCTTTTACTAATTTTGCTAAGAACACTATCATATGTTTTTGACACTGCTTTTACTTAAGCACTGATGGCCTGACACTTTAGATTTTATGTGAATCAAATCTAAATACAAAAATAGTCCAGCACTGTATTTGCATTTTCTACTTAAAAACTTACAGTTTCTACTGAAGTAAGGCAACTTTCAAATGAATATATAAAGTATATATTAAATGCCCAGAAGTTTTTGTTTTTTTTTTTTTAATGAGTCAAGCCAGCCCAGGAGGAGGGAAATTCAACCTCAACTGTGGAAGGAAGGTCAAAGAAAATCAGCACACAACAGAAGAAATTTGAGAGCTGTCTCCAGTTTAGGAAGAAAGGAAAGAAAGAAAACGCAAAAAGCGCTGGACACCAGGGTGTATACCTGCAACCTCAGCTACCTAGGAGGCTGAAACCAAAGGACTGTACGTTTAAGCCCAGCCTGCACAATTTAGCAGGACTCTGTATCAAAATATAGACACACAGACAGACAGACAGAGATTAAATGGGCTAGAGATGTAGCTTTGTGCTCCCTGAGTTCACTCTCCAGTACAAAAACCAAACAAACAAAACAACAAGGGAAAAAAAAAAAACCAACACCAAAAAACCAAAAGCACAAACTCCAAAAAACAACAAAGGCAAAGAATCTAAGTCAGGAGAAAAAGAAAACCCTTTGTGCTGTGCGGCTCAGTAGCAGAGCACTGATACAGTATGTGTGCAGCTCTGAGTGATCCCTGGAACTCTACGTGCACATGTGCGTTCACACACACACAATCATGCTCATCACAGTGGCATACACCTGTAATCCCAGCACTCAAAAGGCTGAGGGAGAAGGATCATTGCGAGTTTGAGGCCAACCTGGGCTACATAGTGAGCTCCAGGCCAGGCTGAACTGCATAGTGAGACCTTGCTTCAATCAATCAATCAATCAATCAGTCAATCACAAAAAGTAGGCAGGTATGGTGCCACATACCTGTAATCCCAGTACTCAGGAGGTTGAAGCAGGATTGCTGAAGGTTTGAGGCCAGCCTGGGTGGGCTTTATAGTGAGTTCAAGGCTAGCTGTAACTTCTTAACATGACACTGTCTCAAAAAATAAAAAATAAAAAATAGGAAAAAATATGTCAAGTATCTAGCAACCAAAAATAAATAAATGCCAGCTTAACAATATTAAACTAGAATTTAGATCAAAAAGAATGCTATAAGATAAACAGTACTAAGAAAGAATATTGTTTAACCAAAGAAGAAATCCTCCAAAAAATGTCTTTCAGACTTTTTGGACGAGCGTCTACAATGAGTTTCCCAAATACCATCTTCACCACATGTGATGGACTCTGCACATTTCATTCAGTTCCACTCCTCCATATTTAAGGAAAACGCGAGGCATTGAAACCCACTAAAAGATGTTGAAAAGCGGAGCAAGAAGCTGCATCAATCACTGACGTATATTTAACTGATAACCTAACCTTAACACATGCAAAGCAGCCAACTTGATCTGTGTCGCCAGTCCTCCACACGCCACCCTGCCAGCAGGAACTCGCGATGCTATGAGGAGGCTGGGGTGGAGGAGATGACAGTGCACCAGTGCACCGGAAGGCCTGGGTGCATCTGTTAGCTCCTTACTGCCATGGACCACATGTGCAAAAAAGTACTGAAGGGCAGGTCTCCAGTGTGGACCCTAAACATCGCTCACCCAAAGGAGACCGAACTCTGACTTTCCAAACACGAACCCCCACCCCCACCCCGGTCTTGGGAAAGGGTCAGATTCTCAGGAGTGCCGTGACCCAGTAACTGCCACTCTGACATGTGGGAGGGTTGCCCATGGAGTCTTGGGGACCATGGTGCCAGAGCAGGGCACAGCACTGGATGAGAAGAATCTAGCAGGCACTCTGGGTAGGGAAGGCTGGACTGTTTCAAAGTAGGTTCACAGCCTCTCCCTACTCTCTGGTGGAGGCCCTGGGACTCTAGCACTGGGGCAAGGAAGGGGCCTGGTGGTCTAGGCTGGACCCTCAGCCCCCATGAAGTTCAGAACAACCTTGAGACCTTCAGCAGTGTCTACCTTGACCCTGGGCTCCAGACTCCAGGACTGCACAGTGCACCTCTGTTGTCCATGAACCACCTGGCCTGCTTGCAGGGCAGCAGTGACCTATATGGAGGCAGCCATGACCTGTGTTAGGGCTCTATTTGGCAGAGATGACCCAAACAGTGCCTGCTGTTAAGAAAACTGCTCAACCTTGGGCCACTTAGAAGTGTCCTGGGGCCCAGACCACACTCTGAAAGGCTGAAGCATGTACATGTGTGTGAGGGAACTGGAACAGGCTGGCACTGTCTCAGGTGTGTTACAAGTTTGTTTAAACTCTGTGTGACACTGAGGATTGAACTGGGACCTCATGTTAGGCAAGCATTCTATCACCAAGTGCACCCTTTGTCCCTTCTTTAATTTGTCGCAGGGCCTAGCTGCCCAGGCTGACCTCAAACTGGCGATCCTCCTGTCTCAGCCTCCAAGTAGTGGGGATTACAGGTATGCACCACAGCACTCAGTTTGTTTTTACATTTAATTTGGTTCTCTCTAGACTTTCATTATGAGACAGATACAGTAATTATGAAAATTGCTTTTATTTTAAATCAAAGTACCAAGCAAATATTTGCAAAACAACATACAAACTGGAACTCAAACACTGCCCTTCCCAAGGGTACCTCCAGGCAGGCACTGAGAGAAGCTCTCACCCTTCTGCAAAACCAAATCAGCCCTATCTTCTCAGAAAGCCACACTGAGGGCAGCATGAACACCCGTGTCTGCATGTGGTTGCAAGGCCCAGAAGGTAGAACTGGGGCACGGAAGCCCAGCAACCCTGAGGAGCCAGCAGACCCACGGAAGCAAGGGAGAGTCAGCTGGGAGCACTGCCCAGCTCCCTCTGTAGGCCGACTTTGTCCTCCTTACCTCCAACCCCCTCCCCACCTGTCAGGAGTGTCCTGGACGACAGGCTGGCAGCAGACGTCTGTGGGCAGCCTTGGGGACAGTGGGAATGAAGGGTGGAAATTAATTTTGAAGCTGATTTGGGGCTTATTTTTGTATGGCTCCACAATTAACTCTATCTTCTGGGACCTCTGTGGACTAAGGGGGAGGGGACTAAAAAGGTCCCAACCTGGTTCTTACAAGGAAGGGAAACTAACCACAAACCAAGTGCAGAGAATAAGCACCCTGGATGCTCCCTGGAAGGTCTCTGGCTCCCAGGGCGACAGGTGTTTCCTTAGTGACGCTGTCTCTAACAGGGTCTAGGCAGTGCCCACACCTGCCGTCCCTCCTAGGGTCACACTGTTGCATATAACAAGACTCACGACTTGAATAAAGATGAGCTTAAAAAAAAAAGGAACAGGTACAAGAAGGAGTAGGTAAACATCATGCTGAAACCAGCTGACTCATGACAACAGTGAACGATGATGCAACAGAAGGAAAACAAGAAAGGAAACTCAGTAGCTTGATGTGGTGGGGAAGCAGACAGGGACTTGGTCTCTCGGACACTAATGGGGATGGATCAATGGACATCGGGACAACTAGTTCCCTTTAATACAGTGGAGAGGGACAGTGGCCCACCTCGTGCTGTGAGGCCTGCTAGAGAAAGGCCTTGCCCCGACACAAAACCAAAAGTAGGGTCAAAGAGTTGGGCCCTTAAGACTGTCCCAAGTCACACTCTGCAAGTGGCTGGGCTTCTTGTTCCCTGAAATGTCTGGCCCTAGGAGCTGTGGCCTAGAACACGGACCCTGCCTAAATTCCTTAAGAGCCCAAACCTAGACTTGCAAACCACCAAGACATAGCCTTCACGGAGTACCCCACATCATATCTGCTCCAGCTAGCCCTGCCCTGCCCTGGGCAGCCTCCTCCAATGCCCTGGGACTTTCACTCTGGCCAGAAGACTCAACTCCATCTCCAGGGGAGGCTCAGGCTAGCATGGGCATCCAACAGCAGGTTGCACATGGAAAGCCATCTGAGCTGCCCAAGGCTGAAGGAACACTACCAAACAAATGCTCCAGAGATTCACCTCAGCAGACTACAGCCCAGGTTCTCTAACCCCAGCCAGGTGCATGCACAAGTGTCCAGGCCTACCCCACAGCCCACTTGGGAATCCTAGGCACTCAGCACTGTTTTGGTTGCAAATGCTATAAATCTGACTCTTTTCTAGAAGCCTACTAAACAATTCACTTAAAGACACTTGCAGCGCATGTGCAATAGTGCCCAGACCTCACCTGGTCTGTGGGGTCTCTTGGCCACCTGAGCACCTACTGGGTCTGTACCCCAGCCACAGGACCATGTTTCCACAGGCAGAAGAGCGGGGTGCTGGCCACACTAAACCTACAAAAAACTGTGGGAAGAAACCAAATCCATAGGATCCATGGGTTTCCACACTTGGGTACATTTCCCAAGACATGTGTTAGTTATGCCCCCCCCCCAGCGGGCTCAGACCCCAAGACAGGCCCAATGGGAGCACAGGCACTAGGGTCTCAGTGATTTGGGTGGACTCTGGTGCCACCAGCACCTGCAGGGTGTTAGTGCCCGCCATCCCTGCCTCTGCTGCCTGCACCTAGCTATCCCCAAGCCTTCTGGTCACTGTCCCCCGGCTCCTGCTCAAGGCCAATGTGTAAACAGTATTAATAAGCAACAGATGGAAAAGTATATTTCCCAAGAAAAACAAGGGAGGGGAGTTTAGAAGGTGAAGACCGATTTTTCAGATTGCTGGCATCTTTCTGTCCCTTTTTCTTGATTCTTCTGGCAAGTGCTCTCTTTGGTTCAGCCCATGAGACCTGCCTGTGCCGAGCCAGTTCCGTGGCCTCTGCCTGCAGTGGCCTGAGGAGAGGCAGTCAGCTCTGTCCACCCCGAGGGGCCTCTTCCTCCCCACCAGCTACTTCTGCTCGTGGTCCTCTGCCATAGCAGCCACCTCAATGGTGGCTGTGTGCTCATCAGGCCCTGCAGTGGCTACTGTAGGCACTGTCACAATTGTGCTGCCTGCCGGTGATGCCTGGGCCACATTCTGCAGGGTGGGGCCCAGGCTGGGCAGAGTGAGGAGCTGTAGCGGGCTGACCACTTTCAGCACTGTGCTGCCGTCCTGCATGGCTGCTGTGCTCAGAACTGTGAGGCTGGATGCGTCCGGGTGGATCTCCACCGTGCTAGGGAAAGCAGAGCCTGAGGAGGCCAGGACTGTGTAGCCCCCAAGGAGTGGAGAGGCTGGCGAGCTGGCAGGGGGAGCCTGAGGGGAGCTCTTGCCCAGGACGGCTGAGGGCAGTGTGGACACCACTTTACCAAGTGGTACGCTGGTCAGCTGGGACACTGGCACGCCTGGGCCAAGGGCGATCTGTGCAGACTGGGTGAGCACCTGTGAGGCCATGGAGGCCGGTCCAGACGTGGCCCGAGCCAGCCGGGGCCGCTTCATGGGGGGTGGTAGAGAGACAGGGGTCAGCGTCATAAGCACGTTGTTGAGGTGCTGGGACTTGTGTTTCAGTTCCTTGGCGCGGCGGCGGTGCTCATCACACTGCTGCTCCAGGGCTGTAGGGGACACACAGTGTCACCATGGGGGAGCAGGACAGGCGGCATCCCCACAGGGCTGGGGAAGGAGCAGACACGCACCATCACCAACCAGCCCAAGAGCTAGCCACGCCCAAACAACCTGCAAGGCTGAGGTCAGCAGAGTGGCCCCTCAGTTGGCCTTGGATGACACACGGCTGCTACTCCACTGAGGGAAGTGCATGTGTTAGACCATCCCCATCTACTCTACCCTGTGCCAGTCACACTCTTCATACAGACAGCTGCTGGCACCAAAGCAGCTGGGGTAATGAGCCTATTTACACGCACACAGGTATACACATTGTGTATATGTGGTGTATACCTGGCAGACACATGTAAGTATCAACCCCACAGAGAACCTGAAATAAACACATGACACCACAAGAGCAATCCTAGCTCTGGGTGGGACAAGGTGGCCCTTTCCACTTCTCTGTCATTCCTCTTAATAACTTGTCACCTCAGAAAAGTTAGTAAACATAACAATCTGTGCACTCTGCCCTGGTGAAGTCAGGTCAGAGGCACTGGAGTTTCACTGACTTTTCAGGATGTGATACCTGGGTTCCCCTCACTCCCCACCTCAGAGGCAATGGCCAGAAAGATGAACCACAGACACCTTGACCCCTCAGTGTCCTATCAGGCATACCTGCAAGGTCCCGGGCATACTGCTCCCGTGAACGGTCCATCTGGCACTTGTGGCTGGCCAGCACCTTCTTCACCAGGTCTAGCATGCCAAAATTCTGTACAATGTTGTTGAGGAGGACAGCATCTTAAAGGAGCAATATGAATACTTGATGAGAACCCAGGCTCCCTCCCAGAGGGCCCAGACCCCAGGGCTGGGCGTGGTTGTTAGGGATCTGGGCAGCAGGAGGAGCTCCACAAAGCCTATGGTGCATGCCAAGTGACCCTCCCACTGTCAGCACAGCCTAGGCTGGGCCTCCATCCCAGGTGCAGAGCAGGGCCTACAGGAGCTGGCAGGGGGGATACTGGGGTGCCTCACCTCGGAGCTGCAGGGGAGGATCCTGCACCCGCTGCTGCAGGCCTCTCATAGTCTCCTCCAGCTCCTGCTGGAACTCTTGGATGACCTCGTCCAGCAGGCCAGCATCTTTCAGCCCCCGCCAGAAGGCAAACGTGTCATCTGTGAGGGAAGCAAAGGGCTGGGCGGGCGGAAGAGTGCTTCTGCTAGGGGTAACCTTTAGTGAGGAAGGGCAAGGACAGCCAGGGCGACTGCCCAGGGAAGTTGGAGCACTAGGCACACATCACTTAGCCCGTAAGTCTAACAGATGGGTGACTGATGTCCACTTCAGAGTCCCTAGGGCCACAGCAGTCAGAGCCCAGCCCAAGCCGGGGTCAGACTGGACAGGTGGCTTGCCCCACAGGCCACCTGCACTCACGAGAAACCCACAAGGCTATACCTCCAATAGCTGTTGTCCAGTCACTGGGGTCTTCACAGGTCTCTATGGTGATGGTGGCAGGTGAACCATTCACTACAAGCAAAATGGAACACGGATGTCATTCTGCACAGCAGCTCCCATACCCTCATGAGTCCTGCCAATCCTCCCAAGGCTGATCTGAGTCCCTCTGTGCCATTTGTTTTCACAGAATTAACAAACACACTTCTACTAGAGCAACCAAGGAAATTCGGCTGTGCTGTTTAGGATGGAGTGACTTTGCCTGGGAGTGGACAGGGCATCTTTCTGGGATCTATGTCTGGTCCCTCACCCTTCTGCGCTGGCACTGCTTTCCAGCCATCGGAATTAGCACTTTTGCTTCAGTGCCATACAGTTTCCACTCTGTAGAAAGCCAATAATAGACTGAATGCCAGTGAAACAGGAGCCACATTAACCCTCTCCTCCTTTCAGCCATGAGTGTCAGGTGGTGCCCAGCAACAGGAAAACCAATTAATACACCTGCCTCACAGTTTATTTCTAATCACAGACATTGTCAAGAAAAAAAAAAAAAACAGGAGAAAAACTGTCAGCAATTCCCAGCATTTCACCTCTGGTTCTACTTACAACTTTACTCAACGAGCTCCCGCAGGTCAACTATCAGGGACCTGAGTGACTTGTTTTACCACTAATAAGCAAGACCCAGGTCACCCTGGATTCCACTGTTACCTCTCATCTACTGTTCCTGGATGCTGCTGTAAACTTGGCATTTACCATGTTTCCAAAATTCTAAATCAGAAGAGCGACAGGCCACCTATTCTGATATATTCCTGAGTTCACTTCCAGGGCCTGCACCCCAGCTGTCTGTGCAGTTCACATTTGGCTGTTCTGGGCTTTCCACTAAGTGGTCTCCCATACAGACTGACTCAGAAGCAGATGAAACAAGTGAGTATTTGGGTAAGGTTTCCAACTTTGTGCCACCTTTTCTACTCAACAAAGATGTGCTGCTGGTAAATATTACACATACCTGGAATCAACGGGGATATGAACAAATGATATTCCTGGTGTGAACTGATACATAAGCTCTTACTAACTACACAATGGCCAAGGCACAGGTTCTTAAAGATTCCCACTGCAAGAAGAAACAAACTGCAGAAAGAGTTGAATCCTAATCCAGACTCTGTTTCCCCCAGGTGTGAAGTCTCCTTTCCTTAGGAGAGAACACTAGCGGTGCCCATTTGTGCTGGCTGGTCACCTTTGGGTGACTTTAGTAAGGCAGGGCAGAGGGTCCTGTGCCCCGATGTTGGCCACAAGGACCCTGAATGCCCCTTTTCCACATTGCCTCATGCTCCAAGGTACCCCAGGCAGGGTTCTGCCCTGGGTCCCCCAGTATCCAACCTAGGACTTTGATCAAGAAAGGAACTAAGCAACTGACACCTGCAGGTTGCTATAAACCATGGCCACCAACCGTCACAACCCAACCATGGACAGCCACTATGACTACAGCAGCCTGAGTGTCCCCGGGCTTCACAGGGCTCAGCACTATGACCTGCAGTCTGTTAGGACACAACAAGGACATGGGGCAGAGTGACAATGCCTCAAGCCACTCTGGCCTCTCTTCTTATATGAGGGACAGGTCAAGGCCTATAAATTGGCTCATGTTTGGATGAGCTAAAGGATGTCCTTGATCACATGGGAGCACACTCCATCCCCACATTCTAGAGGGACATCATTGGAAAGACAGTACTGGCTGGCATCATCAGATGACACAAGTGGGAGCTTAGAACCCCACTTGACTCCAGCCTCACTTTTAAAAGAATAGGTAGGGGCTGGGGATTTAGTCAGTGGCTTAAGCGTCTGCCTGGCAAGCATGAGGTCATGAGTTTGATCCTTGGCACCAAAAAAAAAAAAAAAAAAGAATAGGTAGATAGAATTTTTCATCCAGAAAGCTGAGTGGAATTCCAGAGAACAGTTAATCGTTCTGAACTATGGACATCCACATGGAAGAATGTCATCACCCAAAGTCCAAGGGGCAGGAAGGACTTGCAGCCGAATACCAGTAAGAAGACTGAGAGTGACACACAGGTCTGCAAACCACCAAATGCCCAGGGAGTGTAGCCCCCACAGCAAGGCCGGCCTTGAGTGAAAGCAGGCAGCCAAGGCACGGGGAAGTTCCTTTAGTATTCTTTATACCCTTCTCTATGTATGCACTATTTTTATAATGAAAATCACTTAAAAAGAAGGTATTTTAGTCTTCCCTGTCAATGAACCCAGCAATTCAGATTTCTTTGTGAGGAAGGAAGAGGCCAACTTGATCAGGCGAGGCCCCATGTAAAAGGTGGGATCTCCAAGAGGAAATGACATAGAACCAGAGGAGGGCTGGTCAGGCCAGGTGCACTGTTTTTTGTTTTTAATTTTTGAGACAGGCTTTGAGGCCAGATGGCACTGACTGGTAACAAATTTGTGGGTGGTGACACACAAGGCCATGAAGAATGATAAGATGTGGCACTTGCTCCTGCTGCTCCTGCGTCTGCTACTCACAGTGCCCGGTTCTGGTGAGGCCCAGCTCGGGGTGCTATACTTGTCCTCTGACCCTGTGACGTTGCTGCAGGTGGACACGCTACCTGGCCCCGTGCTCAACTCCCGCAGCACCTGGGTTGTGGAGCTCTTTGTCTCCTGGTGTGAGCACTGCATCAGCTTCACCCACACACAGAAAGTGAAAATGGTGAAAAGCCACAGCTGCCTCTGGTCCACCCCTTTGCCTGCCCCGGGCTGGCCCTCCCTCTGGGCGCCCTCCCCATTCTCCCATCCCTCCCACACAATACGTGTCCCACCTTCGCATTCCTTGCATCCATTTTTGTTTTCCTCTTGGCCCACATTTCCCCCATGTCCCGAGCTCCCAGCCTTCTGCCTGCCTGTTTGCCTGCCACGTGGCCGCCCTAACCTATGGGAGGCAGTTGCCTTTTCTCCCCTGCAGGCTCCTCCCACACCTTATGGCTTTCTCCAGCCCACCCTGCAACAGTGCCTTCATCTTGCCCAGGGGCCCCTGTCATGGAATTCCCTAAATGCTGTGGATCAGTGCTGGGAAATAAAGGGAACTGATACACTGCTGCCCCCACCACCTTTCTCCGCCCCTGGTTTGGCTAACAGAGCCCCACATAGATTTCCTCAAGGTGGGTGCCTTCTCCAGCCAGTTTTCCCATCTCCCTTCAGGCCTCCCCTGATCTGATACCCCCTGCTCCTTAGTCTAGGACTGCATCCTTTTCTCTTCTGGGACTGTGTCCTCCTCTTCTTGGCCATCAGTCCTTTTAGACCCTTATTTTAAGGGTCAGAAATTTGACCTAAGGCAACTTTATAGTCATCCTTTGTTACTTGTTCCATTCACTGTTCTTGATTCCAGGACACCATTAACATTTAGTAACAGCCAGCAGGATAGCAGGCTAAGAAAATCATTAAATGTATAGAGATTTTTAAGGTGTACACTAGGACAGAAATGTTAAAATGTTTAAAAGCTGAAGACTTAGAGCTAAAGAAATACGGTAATAATGGTAATGAATAGTTACTGAGCTCTGTATATCAGACCTACATTGTTTCATAGTTTCGTTTCCACAATTTAAATATCCCTGTAGTATCACCTATTCATCTAACCCAGGAAGTGGGTATTGTGCAGGAGGTGGCATAGTGATGGTGATTTGCTTCCGATTTGCTGTCCTGGAATGGAGCCATTCCCTAATGTGGTGCTAGGGTAAGAGTAGACCTGACCTACAGTGGTCACTGAATGAGATCTGAAAAACATCTTAGTGAAGAGACCGTTCAAGAGAAAAAACCACAGCCAATGTTCCTTATCTGTGCTATTAGTGTTTCTTGATCAATTATAGTAGAATAAATGTACATATAGATACTATTTTCAAATTCAGACTCCCTTTCCCCTTCTAAGAAGCTTGCTAATTGATTACTGAAGTGGCTAGATTAAATGATGTGTATGTCTTTTAAAACATACACACATAAATTTGTTTTTTGAGACAGAGCCAGGTATGCTGACTCAACCCTGTAAACCAGTTCTTGGGAGGCTGAGGCAGGAGGTTTACATTACAAAGACAGCCCAGGCTACATAGTGAGTTTAAGACTAGCCTGAACTACACAGTGAGACCAGTCTCAAAAAAACAAAACAAAGCAAAACAAAAATTAAATTTTTAAGACAGGGTTTCACTAAGTTACTCTAGCTGCCTCTGAACTTAAAATTCTCCCTTCTTGGCTTCCCAAGTGGCTAGAATTTGCAGGCATGTGCCACCACACCTGACTCGACAGCTTCACAGACTGCAAGACCAAGGCCCCGTGCACCCACCATCAGCTGCAGCGGGTGTGAGCGGGATGTACTCTGCAGATGTGGGGCTGCTCAGGGACACTCGGGCCCCCGACAGGTCAATTTTGGTGCTGCGACAGGTGTTGGAGCAGACCTTGTCGTGCTGATAGAAGTCCAGCTCTCCAGAGTCCATGATCTTCCTGCAGAAAGGACATAACAGTCCAAGTGAAACCCAAGAAACCTAATCCATTTTCCTGACCATCTGTCTGCAGGTGTAGGCCTCAGTAGAGGTGCTAACCAGGGTGAGGTTCCACCACGCAGGAGGCAGAATGCACATTCCCCTAGGCATAAAGCTCCACGAGGAACACACTGCAGCTGGTATAGCTGCCCCAGGCCATCCACGTAGTACTCTGTCCAGCTTAAGGGACAAGGACACTGGCTGATGGGCATCTTGGAGACACCTGCTCCATGCTGGTACTAGGGAGGTACCATAACCTGCCCAGACTAAGAGTAGCCCAGTTCTGTAGCAAAGATGCAGGAGTTACTTCCAGGAAATGTCTTGTCCTCTGGACATGACAGGAAAGAAGGTCCACATGACTCCAAGATAGCATCTGAAGCTGTGGTCTTTTCTTATTCTTGCCTGCCAGAAAGGCTACTGTACATGCTGACCAGCTAGGATCTGTCTGTCCAAGTTCAGAGGTCTCAGCCAGTCAGCCTGCTGTGTCCCACGAACAGGGCCTGGAGTTCTGGCATAGCTTTGGCTTTGGGTCGTGCTGGCCTCAGGTATATATAAAGTTCTCCACATACTGTCCCTCGCTCTGCATCTGTGCAGCTTTGCAGTCAGCCATTCTAGAAAACCAGAGGCTGATTCAGTAACATGGGACTGAGGTCTGTGGGAAACGACCAGGCAGGTCACTCTCAAGGCAAAACTGACTGACACAAAGCAATGCACCAGCTGGGAAAGCAAGGAAATGGACACTGACCACGGGAACCTTCCCTGCAGCACCAACATCTTCTGGGCACACAGATACCAGTGTGCCTAATGAGTCACAAAGAACACATGTCAAGCATGGTGCAACAGCCATCTGTACACTCCGCATGAGACTTTAATAAAAAGGAATAAAGAAGACAAAATAAAGGATGACGTGAAAGGCTATGGTCAGATTAAACCTGGATACCCAACTGATGCCTAAACACCAGATTATACCCTTTTTTAGTAAAAACTAGCCCAAGTATCTGCAGAATTTGTGAAATTAAATGAAATTTCATACACACACAATTCTTAAAAGTCTGACAGTGTCCCTGCTAGAGAGCCAGAAGGCTCTAGTCCCTGTAGAGTGTGAACAGGTACAGCTACAGAGGAAGGGTCTGTCAGGACTGACCACATCGAACATGCACAGTCTTCAAACACCCAAATCAAATAAAAAAGCAAGGCCACAACCCCCTCCTGTCACGAGCACACTTGTGCAGGACCCACCTGAGCATGATGCCATTCATTCGGATGGCCCTCTTCCAATCCTTCAGGGTGGACTTCCCTGCCAGGTGGACGAACTCCTTCGGGCTGATCACATGTTCGTCATACTGCAGAGAAGCACAGTACTGCAGAGTTGGCTTGGTCCCAGAGGTCTAGTGGGGCCACAAGTGCTTTTCTCTCCTCTCCTGCCTGACCCTGCACCAGGAGTTCATGGTAGAAGAGCCACAGTGTGGCTACAGTAGCCACGGGCTCATTACAGAACACTGGGGTAAGATAAAAGTATGCTCCACCACAGTGGCTGGAGTGAGGACCAGGTCTCTATCTGGTATGTGGCACACTGCTGCCCCACAAAAGTACACGATATGCCTGGAACTGGGAAGAGCTGGGCTAACCTACTGTGGTGCTCAGTTTCTCCAGATTGGATGCAGCAAACCTACGTACATGCAATTTATTCCACCAGTAATACATATACTCATTATATCATGACATACACTATTAACCCAAGACATAAGCATAAAGACAAGCTATGAGCAACCCCTTTCCTAGACCAGGACCAGGACCAATCCTGAGCCACAGACAGTACAGGAAGCTTAGTAACCTGCCTTAAGTGATGCTTGCCCATACTTATTTCAAAGTCAGGGGATTTGTTCCCTGGACTCAAGGGGCTTAGACAGGCCATGATGCATGCCTGTAATCCCAGCAGTTGGGAGGCTGAGGCAGCAGGATCATTCCAAATTCGAGACCAGCTTACACTACAAAGTGAGCTCAAAGCCAACCTGAACTGCAAAAGAAGACCCTATCTCAAAAAGACCAAAAAAAAAAAAAAAAAAAAAAAAGTGTTCTGAGGCTTGAGATTCACCTCATGCTAGAGCTCAGAAAACTGGGGAAGATCAAATATCCCACTGAATCTTGCTAAGCAAGTAGTTTTTCAGACCAAAGTGTTAGGGCTGTGTCTAGATGTTCCCCTAAAGCCTCATGTGATCATAGGTAGGGCTTCTTAGAGGGGCATGGATCTAGGGTGTGTGATGCTAGAATCAAAGGTTTATAATTACTAAATTAATCTACCGATTGGTTTGGCACTGTTATGGGTATGGAAAATGGGAAGGCCCTGCATGTGAGTGCTAACTGCCCTATGGGCATATAGCATGGATTAGAGTACAAGGGGCACAAAGGGAGCTGCTGCAGCAGCTTGCTGCCTTGCTGCCTGCCATAAACTGTTGTTTCTCCTCTACCAGACCACCCTGACTTGGAGCTAGCCAACTGAAACCTCTAACAAACTGCAAGCCAAAATAAATCTTTCCTCCTTTAACTTTGGGTGTTGGGTATTTTGTCTCAGCAATGAGAAAAAGTAACTAAGAAACAAAGAATGAAAATAAAACTGTGCTCTTCCCAGGTATTCTCTTAAGAGTGACATCATCTTTAAGCCCCCTGTGGTGATCCCTGATGCACTGTGGGGATGTCCAGAGAAGACAGGGTGACCTGGAAATCCAACTGTTTCCTTAAGATCATCCACTGCAGGAACAGACAATGTGGGCTCCAAGTAGATCCGGCAGATGCACGTGTCCCTCCAAGGGAAGGCTATGGTGCTAATGCCTTCCAAGGACATCTGGAAAATAACCCAGCTCTGGAGAAACTGTTGCCTCATATCTGAGGGAATGTGGGCTTTGTGTTTACCAAGGAAGACCTCACTGAGATCAGGAGTATGCTGCTGGCTAATAAAGTGCCAACTGCTGCCTGTGCTGATGCTTTATACCATGTGAAGTCACTGCATCAGGCCAGAATACTGGTCAGGGGCTTCCTTTTTCCAGGCTCTGGGCATCACCACTAAAATCTCCAGGGCCACATTGAAATCCTCACTGATGTACAGCTGATCTAGACTGGAGAGAAAGTGGCAGCCAGCAAGGCCACCCTTCTGAACATGTTGGACATCTCCCCATTCTCCTTTGGGCTGACCATTCTGCAAGTGTTTGACAATGGGAGCATTTACAACCCAGAAATGCTTGACATTACAAAGGAAACAGCATTCTTGCTTTCTGGAGGGTGCCTGCAATGTGGCCAGTGTGTCTGCAGATCAATTACCCAACTGTTGTGTCAGTGCCCCATTCTATCATCAATGGCTACAAGTGGGTCCTGGCTTTGTCTATACAGACAGATTACACCTTTGCTCTTACTGAAAATGTCAAGGCCTTCTCAGGTGATTCATGTGCATTTGTGGCTGCTGTCCCTGTCACTGCAGCCATCACTGCTGTTTCTGCTGCTGCAGCTGCGCCAGCCAAGGTTGAAACCAAGGGAGAGTCAGAGGAGTCAGGTAAGGATATAGGATTTGGTCTCTGAGTGATCACCAAAAAGCAAACTACTCAGCCTGCCTAATTGGCAAAGCAAGGAATAAAGGCATAATTCTCTTCAAAGAAAGAAAAAGAGACAGAGACAGAGATAGAGATAGAGATAAGAGATAGAGATAGGAGAGAAGAGGGAAGAGAGAAGAGAGAAAGAAAGGAGAGGGGAGGGGAAGGGAAAGAGAAAGAGAAAGAGAGAGAAAGGGGAAGGGAAAGGGGAAGGGGAAGGGGAAGAAAAAGAAAAAGAACAGAACAAAAACAAACTGCATTTTTTGGGCAGGGGGTGTAGCTCTGTGGCAGAGAGCTTACCTGGCAACTAAAAAGTGCCTGGGTTCCATCCCCAGCACTACAAAAACAAAACACTTCCTTAGAAAACAAGCAGGCTGGGTAGGACAAGTCACTGTGTCCTGGGAATGCCTCCTCCCAAAGCACACTGTCGCCTGAGCAGTAGGCCTCAGGAGGCAGACAGGGTAATGGCTGGCTCCTAATTCCAAGTCTTGCATACTCTCTTCACCAGATGCCACAGACAAAAACGCACCCACTCACACAGTCACGCCTCTAGCCATAGGCTGTTGCCTTCCTCCTCAGATGCACACACCAGAGCCTGCCTGGCCAGTGGCTTGAGTCTGGTGCTTTGGCTCTGCCAGCCTCACCTGTCTCACACCATCCCTTTCCTCTCTTGCCTTCACAGGGGTGAAGACTCCCTTGGGGTACCAGGTTCTTCTTTGGTTCCTTCTGGTAGCCTGGGCACTAGGCACTGAGCACAGCACCGTTGGCTGTCTGAGCCCATGGGCCTCCTGGGCACCACTGTGTGGTTAGTGTTTTGTGTTCAAGCTCTTCTCAGGACATCATCATCAATACTGCCAGTCGACTGTGTGGGATCTGCCCTCATGTCCCTCACCCTTTATGCTTTCCTGTACTCCATGCTTTGATCTGGGGTCTCTTTCCGTCTGCCTGAAACACACTAAGAGTGTCCTTTATTGATGATTTGCAAATGGCAACTCAGTTTTGTCTGAAAATGTCTATTTCATCCTAATTTTAAGAGCTAATTTTATTGCATCTAATCATTCTCTGTTGGTTCTGAGCGGAATCCAGCCCCACCACTGCTGGCTTCATTGCACTGCTTCTAAGATGCTTCCTCCTGAGCAATCTTCCTCCGAGCTCTGGCCATTATTAATATCTTCTCCTCTGTTCTGGTGTTTCCTTATGGTGTAATCTGCAGCACACTTCTTTCCTGGTTCTAACTTTTTATTCTGATGTAACTGCAAGGACAGTCCGAGAATCTCCCATGTCTTTGCCCTTGGCCCTCCTGTGCATGTACCCTCTGTCTGAATGTGTGAATATGTGCCACCCTCTTCTGAATTGCGGAGACCACTGGCCCCAGTGGACCTGAATGTATTTCCTAAGAACTAGGTACTCTAACACAAATACAGAACACTTTTCAAAATCAGAAACTTTTCACTAGTGCATTATCATCTAATCTGCAGACCACATTCAGAGTCAGTCCTAAAGATGGCCTTTATCACTGTTTTTCCTGATGTAGATCTCAACCCAAGATGGATGTGTGTGGTTGCCATATCTTATTGGGCTTCTTTGCCATGTAACAGCCTCTCAGCCTGTCTTGGTCTTTCTTAACCCTGGCATTTTTGAAGCACACCGTTCAGGGATTTGTAGACTATCTTTCAATTTATGTCTGCTTTCTCAGAAGCAGTCAGGCTGTGAACATTTGGCAGAAGAATCATAGAATTCCTGCTCATCCATTCTAGCAGGAGGTATGGATGGTGGTCTGATACTCATGATGTAAAAATTCATCTAATTTTGGAGGCACCTGGCAGGGTTCCCCATTGCAGCTACCGGCATCTGAATTAACATGTGATCAGAAGGGTAATTTCAGACTGCAACTCACTGCACTTCTTTGAGCACCCCCTGAGGACTTGTGGCATATCACTGCTTCACATTTGTAAGTTGATATTCTGACACAAGCACTTCACTTCTTCCTATGTACACACTTAATGGTAAATAATATCAAACAAACTATAATAAATACAGGCTCAGATTCTCATGTGACGTGAGTTATAATCGATGACTGCTTTTACTGTATTGTGTATGTGCATGTGTGTGGTGCTAAGAACCAAACCTGGGGCCCTGCACGTGCTAGAAGAGTGTGCCACCAAAGAGTTACACCTTCATTATGTTTTTGATATCAATATCCCAGAAGAAGCGGGAGTCTTTACTCAGCTTGGATTCTGTCAGGTCCCCCAACTGTGGACTACTCTCCTCCCTATAAAACCTTTACCTCCCTCTTTGTAAGTATATATGTCAACAAACAAACAAACATTCCTGCTTGTTTGCCTTCTACCTTCCTGTTCTGTGGGTTATATTTTAGATGATTTCTTTGGTTTTACCTTCCAGTTCCCTGTCTCTTCTGCTATGTCTAATCTGTTCCAAAACCTAACCACTAAGTGTTTAATTCTAATTCTACTCTTCATTTCTCATTGTACTTTTGTCAAATTTACTTTCTTCTTTACATGGTTAAGTTCTCTTTTGTTTCTTGATATAAATGAAACATATATTTTGTATCCTGTGTCTAAAAGTTCTAATGACTGTAGATCAGCAGCAAAGAATGTGCTCTAAGTTCTACCCCCAGCACTGGAAAAAAAATGAAATGCCTACAGTCCAGATGGCTGTCCTGCTGCCACTGCTTCCACACAGTCATCCAAGTGCCCTGGTTCCTTGGGCGGAGTGTTTTTGTTTGCCTTGTCACAAGCTGCTCCCTTTTGTGGAACTTGGTGGAAATTATTGGAAATCTGAGATACAGAGGATTTTTCATCTGCTTCTTAGTTTCTAGAGGGAACTGGCAGATAGGAACCACTTATAACTAAACTTTGCACTCCAGGTGCGACCACGGAGGTCACATGCGAATGCTCCACAGGATGATCCCCTGCTGTCATTGCTCACACTCAGGGTGGCAGAACCCTTGCTCTGGGTTTGGTGTTCGGAAGGTTGGTCATCAATGGCCTCCTCTGGCAGACTTAGCTTTAGAGGAAACAAACCATTCTCCCAGAACACATCCTCAGGGAAGCCCTGGCTTAGGCTTCTTAGCCCCGAGCTGTAAAGCTGACGTAAGTCATGTCAGGGGAGGCTGTCAGGCAAAAGCTGAACTCAAGTGTTTTCCCTGCCTCTGTCACTCCACCCTTACTGAGGCCCTCAGCCTGTCAGCTTCTGACTTTAAGAGGTACCTGGAAGATACTTTATGAAAACACTTTAAAAGGCATTTTCAGCTGTTTTCAACTTGAGGTGAATATGGGTAGCTAATCTACCACATTGCCAAGAAGGAAGGTATCATTCCCATTCATCTTCCCCCTTTTCCCTAGTCAGTCTCTCAAAAGCATATTCTTTCTGCCAGTCAAAGCCACTCCCAACCTAGAGGCTGCAGCCTCCACCATACAGGCAGTACCTCTCACCGCTGCCTCCCTCCCGCAGCCTCCCTCTGGCAGCAGGCGTCCCTTCTGCTGGAGGCTGCTCTTTGCTGTACCACAATGGGCTGCTGTACTTCCTGTCCTCCTGTCCAGCACATGGGCCACTGTACCACCTCTGTCCTCCCAGGCCTGTGCAGCATGTCTCCTTGTCTCCACAGCCCAATCAACACTCCCTTGGAGCAGGTGTACCGTATGACCCTCACCTGAACACACTTCACATTGATGCCAGGGCACACAAACTTCCTCCAAATCAAGTTGGCTCTGCTGTCTCCACAGGTGATGGGGTACACAATTTCAGCTTCTAAGTTCTCCTCCTCTTCAGCCATCTTCACTTCTCACAGGCACATTGACAAGAAAGAGAACAAAGAGAAATCAGTTATAACCTCCCCAACACACTTCTTCCAAATGCCTTGTATTCTAGCAGCTGCCAACCTGGAAACCAAAATTGAAACCCAGGAAGGCCCAAAGCACAAGAGCCATGATGGATATGGGATTCAGTCTGGTCAGAGTTTTAAATCCACAGAATAGATTTAACTACAGTATTGTTAATATAATCCCATTAAATTTATTCAACTGGAGAGTCACAAAGGACAGAAAATCAAGCCGAGTTAGAAACACTACATGGGAGGTTTTAGGGATTTAAGGCCCTTTAATTTGGCAACACAAAGTCCCAGAGATGTTAAAAGAACACTGGTAGTCATGGCAAATGGGTACAGAGATGGCAACAAGACAATGGAATCCCAAACAGGAGAGGGCTGCAAGATTTAGGTGGTCATTTGCTCTTGCCCCAGTCACCGGCAAGGAGTGCTATCATGAAGGACTTGACATGTCTCCTTGAGAAAACCCTGCAGTGCAGCCTGGATAAGAGCCTTCTTAGCTGTGGTTGTTAACCATCCCAATCACAGGACCATGGTGCCCCTGCACGATGAGTGGGCAGAAGGCAGGCTTCCAGCCTAATGCAGCTCTCCACTTAGCATCATCCAGCCTAATGTGGCTTCCTACCTAACACCGCTTCCTTGAGCTGGGAGGAGGCTGTGAAGGCTGCAGCAGCTGCGGCTGCTGCATTTTCTGTCTCCATGTTATCTTCAGTCAGGTCACTCCTGGTAAATGATGAAAGAAAAAGAGAGAACATTAGCATCTCTGATTGCAAAATCTGAAGCCCACAGCATACATCAAGCAATACAAACACATCTCATTGCTGACATACCCCTTACATTTTTCTAACCTTTTTGAGAAACAGCAGTGTCTATACAGTCAGGGAATGGTGCAGATTGGTTCCATGTGCTTCTCTTTATGAGAACATGAGCCTCGAATTTTCTATCTTGTTCACGACTGTCTCTAGCACCAGTGAGCAAAGCCAGCATGATGGATTTATTTATTGAAGCAACTAATGTTTAAGTGGGAATTCTAAACCCCCACTTCTTTCTTTAATAATGTTTTTAATTTCTATTACAATGACTTCACATAATTACACAAATTATCAGCCTCCTGAGTAGCTGAGTTTACAGATGTGTGCAATGAGTGCCTGGCTTAAAACTTTGGGAAGAAGAAAAGTTTCCATTGGACCTTCATTTTACCACAATTAATTATGGTAAAATTAAAGGTTACAGTAGCTGGGTGTGGTTGCACACACCAGTAATCCCAGTACTCAGGTTGATGCAAAAGTTTAGATTTAAGACTAGCCTAGACAATATAGCAGGACATAGTAACAAAAAAGGAGTAAGTATGATATTATGGCTTGTATCTACATGTCCCCCCAAAGTCTCATGTGCTCATAGTAGAGCTTTTTGGAAGTGACTGGATCATGGGTGTGCACTAATAGATTAGTTCAGATCTGGTATAGGTGATGGACGTACTGAAGAGGGAAGATCCACCCTAGTATGGGCAGCACCAACCAATAGGCTTGTGGCCTGGATGGAAGAAAACACAAAAGGAGGAAGGCTCGCTGCCTCCTGACTGCACACAGGAACTCTTTTCCTTTGGCCATGCTGCCCTGCCTTGGGGCCAGGTGACTACGGACTGAAACCTCTACAAACCGTGAGCTAAAATAAACCTTACCTCCTTTAAATAGTGGGTGTTAGGTATTTTTTCCAGAAACAAGAAAGTAACTAAGACATTTGAGTTTAAAATAAAACTTTCAGCATAAGGGAAAAACACCTCAGGCAGGTGCTGTGCCACAGAGCTATATCCCTGGCTCCAGAGCTATACCTCTGTCCTCTTGAGGGTCTTTAGATAGGTCCTCTGAGAATATCTCTGGCTGGTGATCAACATGTACAACTCCCCTTGGCCTGGAGAAGCCAGACTGGTTATCACCCATTACTCCCTCATCGAAGTTTGGGGTACTTTAGAGAGTGGGATGTTATAGGCAACTAAGTTAAATAAAAATATTATAGGTAGTCAGACATGGCTGGGCACTTGAAGGAGCCAGTACAGAAGGGATCCATTGCAACTATATGGGAGGCTCCACTGAGTGTCAGGTATCAGCACAAAAGATGAAATAAATGCACCCGCATCCTTCCCCAGGATAAACATCTGGGACTGACACTCTAACAGGAATCCATCACCTTGAGGAAGCCAGGAAGAGCACTGACCCAGCTCCCTACAGGAAGAGTTGCTGGTCTTTCACGCCTTCTTGCTGCCTGACTTGCTTCCCCATTTGATCCCCATTTAATCAGTTTTACCTGAGCAGTTATGTTTGCAATCTTATCTATTAACCATAGTTTTGTCCCACCTCCTGCCCACCTTGCAATTTCCCATTTTTCCCCACCTTTGACCCACCTCACCTCATGGGTTTGCTCTATAAAAATCCCTACAAAGGCTGGGTCCTTGGCATCCTGCTCGGGACTCCTTCTGACTCTCTCTTGGACAAAAGCTTTCTTTCCCCCAATCAATATATTCTGCTCTAAAAATATATATATAAACAAACAAACAAACTGTCTGTCAGATATACTCTCACAGCAACAAAAAGCTGTCTAATACAACAAAGACAGAGAGCCTCTAGCAGGCCACCAAGAGTCATTAGGCAGACCTGTCCTAGAACCCATGAAAATAAAGGGCCGACTTTAGGTGGACACAGCCTGAGACAAGGCTAGTGTGCAGACCAAAGGCAGAGGTGCACCCATCGGGTGGGGACCATCAGGACTTCCTCCACAACTTAATGGTGAGATACTGATTACTTGGCAGTTTGGTTCATATTTCACTTAAAAATATCCTTTTTCACTGAAGGCAACTTCACAAACTCCTGGCTGTATCAAACTGCTTTTTTCTCTGTAGCAGGCAGCACTTGCTGGGGCAGGGTAGTAGGAAGACAACTCTATCAGACTTCATGAATAGGGGCTGGGGATTTAGCTCAACGGCATAAGCGCCTGCCTTGCAAGCAAGCAGTTGTGGGTTCGATCCCTGGTACTGATAAAAAAGAAAAAGACTTCATGAATAAGAAGCGCTCCTATATTTTTTCTGCAAATATCCACCTGGAAAGGACAGACACCCACAAAGTAATTAACTATACTCCCCATCTTCTCTAAAAACAACATGTAGCAAGAATCAACTTCAAGGGGCTGGGGATTTAGCTCAGCAGCATAAGCACCTGCCTTGCAAGCAGGCGGTCGTGAGTTCAATCCCTGGTACCGATAAAAAGTTAAAAAAAAAAAAAAAAGAATCAACTTCAACTACCAACCAGTAAGACATAAAAATAATTCCCTTCAAATCCTTCAAGACAAACCTGCCTTAGTTCCAACATGGACTCCTTCCCAAAGAGGCACACATAGCCTATTCTCTTCCTGTACAAAGGCCCAGCTAATGGAATAGCACTCCATCTTCCTGGCACTGTGACCCATACTGTCAACTGAAAAATGCTCCATCCTTCATGGCCCTTCCCATCAAGAGAGGGTATTCCTGATTCCATACCTCACTTGATCTTTGTCCAGTTTTTCCCTACCACATCCCTGTACTGGGAAATGAATCCAGAGCCTTCTGAGCTACGTCCACAACCCTTTTTTAAAAATCTTTTTTGGTACTAGGAATCAAATTCAGGACTTTGGACTTGTCAGGCAGGCACTGTGCCACGCTTAATCACTAAGTTGCCCAGGCTGGGCTCAAACTGTTATCCTTCTGCCTCTGTCTTCCAGAACGTTGAGATTATAATCCTGAGCTACCATCTCCAGCTTGTAAACCAGCTCTGACCAATGAGACAGATGAGGCCTTGAATGTCCTTCTTACTGCTGGAAGCTTCTACCACAAGGACAGTGCAGTCTGCTATTGTAGTAAGTGATAGCCAGGCACAGAGCCACATCATATGGAGTGGGGCCACAGATACTCAGCTGGGCCAAAGCCAATCCACCAACAGCAGAAATGATAAACACTTAGTTGCTTTAAGCCACCAAGTTTTGCAGTGGTTTGTTATGCAGCAAAAATGACTAACACAGGGATTGTGCCAGTGGAAGTGCTATGGCCTCACAAGCAGCAGAGCTGGAAAAGGGCAAGGGACAGGTTTGCTACCTCGTCATGTGTAGCAGAGGAACAATCTTATGCCTCAGCAATCTAGACAGTGGAAAACACACTGAAGATCATGTGCATCTTGTGATAATATTGCAAGTACCAACGGGCTTCTGTGAAATCAGATGATCATTCTCATAGTATTTACAGGGAGTGGAAAAATCACACTATTTCATACCTCCAGCTTTTCTGTTGACAACAACTGTCAAACTAAAAACTGGCATTAGAACAAACCAAACTAAGGCACAGCTGTAGAGGTCTTCATTCAGACCTGAGTTTTGGGGTTGTATCTAACCAAAGACCCTGCAATGAAAGACAGAGAGACCTATCTTCACAGATTCTGCCACATGGTTTTTGAACAGGCCCATTCTCCTGCTGGGAGGAGGGAGCGGTAACATAGTTTTTACTTCATAGGTCTCTGGATCAAGAGGTGCTTCACCTGCACCCAGACCTGAGATGGCCTGGAGGGCAAGACTAGGAGCTAGAGCTGGGTGAGAACTGAGGGGTCCTGGCCAGTGGTGGGGGAAAGAAGTGACACTGCTAAGCTGTGTGCAGTGGCACACACCTGTAATCCCAGCACTTGGGAGACTGAGGCAGAGGAGTGCAAGTGTGAGTCCCACCTGGGCCACTCAGAGACCCTATTTCAAAAAAAAAAAACAAACAGTACTGGGAAGGTAGCTCAGACCAAAGGCCTGAGTTCAATCCCCAATACTGAAAAATTAGAAAGAGAGACAGAAACAGAGTGACAGGGAGAGAGGGAGAGAGAGATAGAGGGAAGGGAAGGAAGGGGAGGGAGGAAAAGGGAAACTGTGCCAGAGCAGAAAGGCTACATCATCTAGACAGCTAGTGGCAGTGCTGTCTACCCTGAACCTGTGAGTGGCCACATGACACAGTTTCTGAGCCACAGTGCACATCTCTAAGCCTACAGCTGTGTGAGAAGATACCAGTTCAAGAAGAGACACCTAGAGATAATGATCCTCAAGTGGGGCTAAATTGCATCAACCTACAGCAGCAGCCCAACACTAGAAAGCTAAGAAGCTTCCTCAGCTAGGAAGACTCCAATATGGAGCTGGCCCTCCCCTCAGAGGTGACACTGAAGCTGGGAAGCATGGCAGTGACCCCAGGGTACCAGGAAGAAACCATGTGGTTTTTTCTGATCCAGTGTCATTTTGCTACACTACGCATAGGCCAACCCCAAATCTGAGCAAGGAGACTTAGACACTGCTTTCAGGTGGGGGCATAAGGAGGTTAGAGCAGAGCATGTAGATCAAAGGTCAAATCCCATAGGAGGGCCCCACTCAGAAGCCTGTTTCCATCAACAGGGTCTTGTACCAAGTCTTGAAGCACAGATCATATAATGTTTTGGTCTTGAGCCTTTCTCTAAAAAGTTCTGTCAGCTGGGTGTAGTGGCACATACTTATAATCCCAGTTATTCAGGAGGCTGAGGCAGGAGGATTTCAAGTCTAAAGTCAGCCTAGACAATTCAGAGAGACCATGTCACAGAATTTTAAAGGGATGGGATACAGTCCAGTGCTACACTGCTTGTCAAGAGTACATGAGGCCCGGGGCTGGCGATTTAGCTCAGTGGCATAAGCGCCTACCTTGCAAGCAGGCAGTCGTGAGTTCGATCCCCGGTACCGATAAAAAGGAAAAAGACAAAAAAAAAAAAAAAAAAGGAGTACATGAGGCCCTGAGTTCAATCCCCAATGCTGAAAAAAAAATATAAAGTTCTCTGTTTTAAAGTGAAGACTCACAACTGACCACTGTTCCATGACAAGCTGAGACAATGTGAAGATGCCACATAAGAAAAACAGTAAAGCCTCAAATCGTGGGGAGGAAGAGCAAGGATTCATGTAGCCCCTCTATGCAGGATCACTGCTTCGCCTCATCATACCTCTTGCCAGGAGCAGGAGCTACTGTGCTACTTCCTGACAACTCTGCCTACAGAGATGGCAAAAATCAGTCAGAAGTTTGGTCAAATTTGAGGTTTTTTAGTCAACTGACAGTTCAGCTGTCTAGTACATGACATGAAGTTGGCACATCTGTGTAATTCCAGCACTCTGGGAGGCTGTGTGAGGTGGATCATTAGTTGGAACCTAAACTAGGCAACTCAGCGAGACTCCGCCTCAAAATAAAGCATGAAAAAGGGGGAAAAAATAAAAAAATGGGGAAAATGAAATGTTAGTTTCCTAAGGAACGTCAAGAAAGTCACTGCTTCTTCAACTTCATTCCTTGACAGCAGTCTCCAGTCTTTCCCACTGTCCTATTTATCAAAAGACAAGTAACCATATTTTTGGAAATCACATGGCCTTGCTGCAGCAGAGTAGAGGCAGCACCCAAAGTTTGTAGTTGATCCTCTCGTTTAATGCAGTTTGCTCTTCAGCTTGTACTAGAGATGCTGAGTCCAGTCTGAGAATCATCATACATAAGGAAATTTTGATACTTGCACCTGAATCTGGCAGCCAGCTGTGCCATGGATAATTCAACCAGCTCCCAGTATGGCCCTTGGCAGGACCAAGGCTCAGTCCTTACCCGTGAGGGGCCAGATTTGTTGTTACCAGCACCGTCTTCACCTCCTCCACACCACTGCCATCAACTGCAGTGTCTGGAGTTGTCACGACCACCACCTCCTCCATATGGACGCTCACATCTGGGGTTGCCATGGTTCCAGAGAAGAGGGCACCAGTGGCCAGGAGTATCACTCCTCCAGGGTCCCAAGTCCTAGAAAAACCAAAGTAACATAGAGGTTACAGGATAGTCTCCAAATCTGCTCAACACAATACCTAGCAAATGGTTTCTCTCAATATCACCAAAAATCCTCCTTCAAGTTCCTGTCTACTACGAGTCAACAAGAAGCTGTACCCCGAGGCTCTGGGTCTCAGAGTAGTCTTAGGTAGCAAGATGCACCATCATTCTCACTAAATAAGCCACACTCTCTTCAACAAGGTACAACACTCCTCATTCCATGAAGGCCTGAAAGTTCTGAGATAGCAGGAAGAACAGAGCAGAAGTCTAGAATGTCAGGTATGACTTCTTTGAAGGTGAGTTTCCTAGTAGCTACTTTTCCCTCTAGATACCCTGGCAGAACTCAAAGACAGGATGAAAACCTGAGATTAAACACTGATACAGACCGAAAACACCCAAGAAATCTCTCTGGTCTAAGAAAAGAGAAACTCATACAAGACAAAAAAAAAAGTAAGGGGCCAGGGATTTAGTTCAGCAGCATAAGCGCCTGCCTGGCAAGCATGAGGTTGTGAGTTCAATTGCTGGTACCAAAAAAAAAAAAAAAAAAAAGAAAAAGAAAAGTTCACCAGTTTCCTCATTTGTAGTGGCCTCTGGATGATGATGTGGGTTGTTATGATTTAGACAGACATGTCCTCCAAAAGTCATGTATAGTGGTGAGGCTTTTGGAACAAGGTGATAGGATCGTGGAAGGGCTATAGTCACTAGTGGATTAGTCCATACATGGGTTCACAGGTTCTTGACTTTGCTGTTGTTTTTTTTTTTTTTTTTTAATTTTATTTAAGGAGAAAAGAAAAAAAAAAAAAAGACTTTGCTGTTTGGAGTGTAGCTTGGTTGGAAAAGGTGAGTCTCTGGGGGCATAACCTAGAAGGGTTTAATTTTGTTCTAGTTCATCCTCTTGCTCTCTCTGCTTCCTGGGCCCCAGGCAGTTAACAGCTTTCTTCTGCCAAGGTGTTTTGCCATGCTGAGTCAGCTTACGATGGCCTGAAGTCATGAGCCAAAATAAACCTACTGTCCTTTAAGTTGTGCATGTTGGGTATTTTGTTCCAGTGAAGGGAAAGTTACCAATACAAAAATATAGTACCAGGAGTGGGATTGTTGCTGTGATTAGATCTAACCATGTGGTTCAAAAGCCTTTGGAATTTGTTTGTAGGAGAAGTCTAGGAATGTTTGGCAATGCTGCCTGGAGTAGACTTAGAATGCTATATATAGAGTAGGCAGAGCTTGGTGGGTGACTCTAAGTGAAGTTAAAAAGACCAGAATGCTGACAGAAATGTGGACAGTTACACTCAAGCTCATGAAGTTTCAGATGAGAATTTAAAAATGTACTGGAAATTGGGACTAGAGATATTGTTTCATTCTAGCAAAAAATTTTATCTAGATTTTGTCCATGTCCTAAGACTTAATGTGAGGTTCAATTTGTAGGTTATGCACTATTTTAGCTACTTTTCTCATTGCTATGACAACATACCCAACACCCACAAGTTAAAGAAGGAAAGATTTATGCCGGGGATTTAGTTCAGCAGCATAAACACCTGCCTGGCAAGCACAAGGTCACAAGTTCAATCCCTGGTACCAAAAAAAAAGGAAAGATTTTGGCTCACAGTTTGTAGCAGTTTAAGTCCATAGTCAGATGGCTCCAAGGTAAGGAGACCTGACAGAGGCACATCACAGAAGAGAACAGTACATGGTGTGGTAGGCAGAAGGCAGCAAGCAATAAGCAACAGCAATAGTGTCAAGCCTGCCTTTTTTCCTGTCTCTTTATATTCCATCCAAATTACAAACCTATTGATTGATACCCAGGGTGGAGCTTCTATTATCTATACCCCTAATCCTAGTATCATAGCCTTCATCCACATTCGCACACCTTAATCCAGCTACCTTCAAAACTTTGGAAGGATAACTAGATACAAACCATAACATGCACTAATTGATCTGGTAGAAAAAAATTTCAAGGCAGCCCAACATTCAGGCTGTGCCATGGGTATTGCTAGCTGCTTGCAATTAAGACTTACAGTGAGAATCAGGACCAACACAGCTAAATAATTTGCAAGGTTTACAGCTCACTAGAAAGGAAGTTCCTGCAAAGTTGGGGCCATAGACAGTATGATTACTGAAAAGATTAACATTAGAAAGAAGCCAAGTACTTGCTGGGGATTTAGCTCAGTGGCATAAGCACCTGCCTTGCAAGCAGGCAGTTATGAGTTCGATCCCTGGTACCGATAAAAAAAAAAAAAAAAAGGAAGCCAAGTACTTTGCATCTGACCAATAGGAAAGACAGACTGTAGGCATCCCAGGAATTGGCCATACCCTACCCTTCACAGGCTCAAGGGTTTTAAAAGTAAACTCACTTGAAAGATTTTGCTTTGATAAGACACCCAAGGATTCCCTGTTCAAGGACCACCTAAGGATTGGTTCTTTGGAGATTCATTTCACCTTGCTTAGTTAGCCAGGCACTTAGAGGCTGCTATAGCTGTGGTTTAAAGGGATCTGGCTATTTGCTTAAACTGGTGGCAGACCTTGGAATCCTCCACTAGGGCTGATTTTTTCAGTCATACAAAATGTAAGAGTTGCTTGATTACAGAGGCTTCCACTCAGATTACATAAGAAGCCCTAGGAAACCAGGTAAAAATGTGTGACAAGATCACAGTCCCTGCCAGGTGTCCTTGAGAGGATAATAGGTGAAGCCAAAGGTGCAGTTCGAAGTTGAAGATGCCAGGAATATGTACCAGCTGCTGAAGAAAGTTGCAGAAAGTGAACAAAGCTAGTCCAAAAGAAAAGCTGTATGAGCTGCAACCAGCAATGCCATAACAGTAGGTCTATCCAAGCCTTCTGGAATTCCCATCTTACCACAACTGCCCCAAATGTTGGACACGGAGCTCCAAGAGTTAATGTTTCTCCTGCTGGATTCTGGATTTGGTTTCATTCTATTCCTTCCTCACTTCTAGAATGGGAATATTTGCTCTACACCACTGTATGTTGACCGTATTTAAGTTTTTCTTAAACATTTTTGTATTTTTTAGATACTGTTTTTGCTAAGCAATTCAGACTGGCCTCAAACTTGCAGCAATCTTCCTGCCTTAGTCTCCTGAGTGCTGGAATCACAGGCATGTATTACCATATCTGGCTCTTTTTTATTTCTATAGGGGCTGAGTTTGCCTTGAATCTCACAGGAGACTTTGGACTTTCCAGCATGTTGGAACTAGTAAGACTTAGGCAACTTTTTTTTTTTTTTTTTTTTTTTGAGACAGGGTCTCTATGCAGTTCAGGCTGGCCATGAGCTCTCTTTGTAGCCTAGGCTGGTCTCGAACTTCTAAGGATCCTCGTGCCTCAGCCTCCTGAGTGCTGGGATTACAAGCATGAGCCATCTTGCCCAGCCGACTTTGGCAACTCTTAAAGATGGACTAAATGTATTTTACGTAATGAGATGGACCTAAGCCTTTTGGAAGCCAGGGGCAGAATGCTATGGGTTTAGATCTGAAATGTTCCCTAAAAATCTTGTGTGTAGGGGGGACTCTTACAAGGTGATTAGATCATAGAGACACTATATTCATCAGTGAATTAGTCCACTAATATTTTCATAGCTGAATGTGCCATGTGGAAAAGGAGCAGGTCACTGGGGGCTTCACTTGGAGGGCTATATTCTCATTCCTGTCTCTTCCCTCTTCTCTCTCTCTGGTTCCAGACACTATGCTAGAAGCAGTTTTCCTCCATTTCTGCCTTGAAGCCTTGTGACCATCAACTGATCTCATTAAAACTACAAGCCAAAAAAAAACCTCTCCTTAAAAAAAGAAAAAAGAGGGGCTGGGGATTTAGCTTAGCGGCATAAGCGCCTGCCTTGCAAGTGCGTGGTCGTGAGTTCAATCCCCAGTACCGATAAAAAAGAAAAAGACAAAAAAAAAAAAAAAAAAAAAGACAGGAAAGGGGAAACATCCTTGTTTATTATTAGTAGTAATATCATTATTAATATTATTTTGGGGGGGTGCTGGGGATCGAACTCACGACCTCGCATTTGCCAAGCAAGCACGTACACCACTGAGCTAACCCCTGGCTCTATTAATACTATTTTTGTCTTTGATGGTCCTGCCCTCACCAATCAAATCTCCTGCTTGAAGACTGCTTGGTAGTAGTGACCTGGCGAACACCAAAACTGTGGTTTCTCCATCCTGACTAGATGATGGTATCCCAAATTTGTGGAGGTTATGCTACCTCATTCTCCATCTTCTTCACCAGTCGCAGGCCAGACGCAGTCAGCACATGTCACAGAAAAAATAACAGCTCCAAACTTCTAAGTAGAGAACAAGGCAAGGGCCCTGGAGTCAGTATGGGACACTGGACACAGTGGGGGATATGCAAACTGAACCTACACAGCTGCATGGGAATAGAACATCCTGAGACAGTCCACACGTGAACCTAACTGTACATGGATAACCAAAGCTTTGAGAACTGATCAATGGGTAGACCACTGTTCAGCCTCACCTTGAACCCCAGATGGTGCCCAGGCAGCAAAAATAGGAGCACTGAAGCAGCCCTGAAAACTGACCTAATCTCAGCCCAGAGGAGATTCAAAACACACAGCATAAAATACATCATGTTCCTGCTGCAACTGGAATTCTACATTCTGCATTCTTTTCAAGACTGAAACATGACCCAGATCTCACAGTACAAAGTATCCAGAATATAGTCCAGAATTGCTTGACATACAAAGAGTAGGGAAAATCAAGTTCTCAAAAGGAAAAAAAAAAAAAAAACAGCTGAGAAAAGTCTGCCCTAAAATGACTGTAGGAGTCAAAGAAGACTCTAGGCAGACAATTACCACATCACTCCCCAAAGGTAAGCCAAGTTACTGTCAAATGGAAATCTGAGAATCAAAAATTAGAACAAAGGCTGGGGAGTGTAGCTCATGTACAACACTTACCTAACATGTAAAAGACCTGAAATACAAACATCAGCACTACAAAAAAAAATAGTAAAAAAAA